TGGTTATTTCTAGAACATCCTTTCAATTTCCTTCACTTCAGGGAATAAAGTTCGAGCTCGTTATCTCCCTCTTCAAACGTAACCTGAACAAAGAAATGAGTTCATGCAAACCCTGAATTCATATAGATTTGCTTCTTTCCTCATAAATTATGAAATATGAAATTTGAGATTCTCTTTTCCCTTTTTCTCTCTTTTTCCAGTTGGCCTTTTGTTTTTTATTATTCCGGCCCTCCAATGCATCAATAGTATGATTCATATTGATTTTCTAGAATTTCCGTAGTAAATCTCATGATAAATAACAGCAGTTTTTGTTACGAAGAGGACACCTTTTTTGGGTTCCGGGAGATTAGAAGAGCGAAAAACGGCGGCGCCGTCGGTCGAGAGACTAGATTGAAATCTCAATTCAATTGAAATCAAGTGAAGCATGAGGGAGAGGAGAAAAGAAGATACACATGTGCTAGATTGTTCTCATTGATCATTCCCTTTTATTATTCTTTTCTGGAACAAATGGAAATATCTGGCTCTCACATTTTTCAGAAGCTCTGAATCGGGAATTCTCGTGAATATTTATTTTTGAAGTTTTCTAGAAATTTGGATGCAGATTGCTACAAACTTTCGTTTTTAGAAATTGAATTGATCCGTCCTCATTTCCGTTTATAACTGTTTAAGATTATTCCTTCTTTCCCTAGTATTCTAGTATTTTCTGAAGTTGACTGTTCTCTTTTACAGCTTCTTAACAACTATTATAATCTACAAAACTTTTCGAATCAACCTGTTGTAAATGTCGTATTTCTTCCCTTCGTTTCTTCTTTCCATTCTCAAGTGTTGTTCCTTGGGAATAAAATCACAAAACTTGTATTTCTCTCCTCTTCGAAAAACACAAAACTAATTGCGCAACTATGTTGAATTCGAAAAGAATCATTACTGTATGATCTGGTTAATTTGGTAGATTTTCGAACCTCTTCTGCACATTTTGGATGCATGGGAGGAGCCAAAAAAGCGAGATAAAGGGGCGGAGTCGAGCACAAAAACAATACGAAAGCTCAAATAAGGCTGGCATTACACACTTGCATCCTCTTTATTCATTTTCTTGACTCATTTATACGGGCCTTAAATATTTTTTCAGTTTCCCAGAAATTTCATAATCCAAATTCACATGATTTTTGAAAATAATAATCTGTACTGCAGTAATCACATGACCTTTTTTCGTCAGCTGCATCAAAAGCAAAAGTACCGTACCCCTTTTGAATATATATTGCCACAGAGGCATTCACTTCATTAGCATATAAACAATATAGAGTGCAAAAAGATATAAAAGAGAGAACACAGAGTCAACAACCTTCTTCCTCTCTATTCCCTCCAGTTGACCGTGCAGTGTGTCTGTTATCATATTATCATTCTTTTCCCCCACCAACTACAGTGTTTTATCACACACAGCCAAACCACCATTCTCTCTCATTTACCTGTTTTTTTTCTATAATCAGTCGATCAATCGATATTCTCAATTTCTCAATTTTACAGAATGTCACCTGCAACGAATTGGATTCCTTCCCAACGTCTTTTCATTTTTGTTTCTATTTCTCTTTCTGAATAGTTTTCTTTCTTGAAGTTTGAATGACATCTCGAGGCGAATAGTTTTGTAGAAAATAGCTGTATTTCTTAATCTTTTCCGCATGTTACTGTCTTTCTTTTTCCGTTTTTTGTTTATCTTTTTTTTTACTTCTTTTTCTTTTCCTAATTGCTCAATAATTTTCTTTTTTTGCTCAAGTTCATTCTCTTTCGGTGTTCCTTGTTTTTTAAAATGGTCTTTTGTTGCTCTATAAGTACTACGAGTGATCTTTTTCATTTTATTTTAGGTCCTACAGATTTAGACTATTTATTAGTTTTTGTCTCTTTTAAATTTATAAATCTTTTTTGTTTATTTTGAAGGGGGCTTCCTTGTTTACTTGTTTTGGTTCATTCCAACGCGTCTTTTATCTTTTGCTACGAATTCTCTCATTTTTAAATCGAAAAAAAAGTTATTTCTCGGTTTCAGATTCGTTTGATAGTTCGACATGACTGATAATCACGAGAAGCGCCCGATTCCAGACAGTGTAAGTTTTCATATTTTATTGAGGAAACAGTGTTTTCTACTAGCAATTATTTCGACGACAAAGCCTTGAAATTAATGAAAAAATGCGTATCAGAAAGCCTGCGCGGAAGTTGCAAAAAGGCGTGCCGCATTATTGCAAAGGGGCGGTCTTACGTAAATCGACACAGCTTCTTCCTACAAAAGACAAATTTTAACTTCAAAAAAGTTCTTTAATTGTATTTATCGAGCCAGTTCAATAATTAAAATATTTTCAGCCACCAACTGGACAATCGAGCAGTTCAGCGATGCCATCAGCTCCACCATCAGCACCAGAACTCTCGTCTTCTCCAACACGTCCACCACCACCTGCCGGATTCGTCTATCCATCCACTGATATCCACAACTCTGTTCATGTTACTTCTCCACCAACTCCATCCTCATCGTCCAACGTTCCAGCTGGACCACCACCGGCACATGCTTCTGCTGGACCAGCGCCAGCGATGACTGCCTATGATATGCCACCACCATCATATCAGGCAGCCATGTCATATCCAGCCGCACCGACCTATGGAGGAGCCGCGGAGCCAAAGTATTACAGTGGAGGACAGCCACCAATCTACTATCAGCCACCACAAATAAGTGAGTTTCAGAAGAAAAAGCCAATTAAAAAAATCTTTTTTCAGCTCAAACTCGACTCCCACAACCCGATGGAGTTGATCAAATTGTGCGCGCCGTCCGTATACAGAATCCATCTGGAAGCAATGTTATAGTTCATGTACAACCAGGAGCAGCCTGTCGTCGTTGTGTAAGTTTCTTTGAGAAGCTGTTCAGAATTATCCTTCTATATTTCAGACAGTTGGAGTGATCACCCGTCAGACTGATATGTGCTGCTTGCTCTGTCTCATAATGCTTACAATCTTCACTTTCCCATTCGGCTTAATCTTCCTTTGCTGTGTGCCATGCACTGTTCAGAATCGATGCACAAACTGCAATCGTCTCGCCTAATTACAATTTTCTCGTTTCTCCAAATTCTTGTCTTTGTCACATTTTCTCTCTCTTGTCCCACGGAACCTCCTTGTAATTCCTTCCTAGTAATTAGCAGCTTTATATCACTTTGTATGGCTAAATCGTCTTCTTCCGCTTATTTGTATTTTGCACAGTAGATCTGTCATCTGCCACAATCAAAATATTCACTATCCAAAACGATACTGGTTACCAGTGTGTGTTACCCCCTCTCTGTATTCCACTTTTTCGCGTTATGTAACGAAGTCTGTCTCCTAGTAACCGAATTAACCACCATCCAACCCGAAGCCTTATTCAAAAAATCCCACCACACTTCCCATCCCAAAACCCACAGACTAAGCGTGTTTTTTCAATCATTTGATAACCGAAATGAAGCAATAATGTGAATTTTTCGATGTAATAAGTAGGGGGTTTATTACTGAGGGAGTACCGTATTAATTTACCGCATTTTGGAAATGTGCGGTATATAGATAGTCGAAAATAGTTCAACTGAACAAACAAAAATTCATTTCAAATACTTAAAAAAAATTTAAAGAGAAAATGAAAAAAGAGATCATGCATGATCTTTACTTGTTCTTGGGGTTCTCCTGGACTGGCAACTTGGTTGACTTCTTCTGGGTGTCCTTCTTCTTCTCCACGTCCTTGTCCTTCTTCGCCTTACACCATTTTTCATAGGCGTATGAGAGTAAGCAGGCCAGAATGATGCAGCTGAAGATGGCGCAGAGAACCCACAAAACCGTGTCGTTGGATCCTTGAGGCGGCTCGTTCTTGATGACTTTCAGGAAGTTGTTGCAGGTGACCTTCCCTTCGCTTCCAGCCGTTTTCTTTGCCACCTCCCTCAGACGCACGAGATCCGCCAGTCTGGAAAAAAGAATTTAATTTTCAAGATCGAAATAAAATTCGAATTCAACTCACCCCTTCTTATTCTGCGTCGCCAGCGTCGGGAATTGATCGTGATCGAAGAGAATTGCCTCTTCTTTTCCCTTCAACTGCTCCAACTTCGGGAATTGCATTCTGGCGAGCTTCTTGTTCCGATGGAATTTGAGGGCGGGTCCTTCGTTGCTCGTCAGGATTATTACATTCGGCAGGAAGTCGAAGGTTTCGATCTCGGTCTCCGTCACCTCCACTCCCGACGTGATCTTCGTGATCATCTTGAGCTTAGATTGGAGCACCGAGTCTGAAAATTCGAGATTATGGAAGAGAATTCATGATTATTTGAAGACATAGAAATTGGGATTATGCCACGTGGCTTTCCGAAATTCCTCTAATTTTTCCCCGCTTACTCACCCTCTACATCGCCAATGATCCTCAGTGGCCTCGTGTCGATGCTGAGGCAAGTGTCTGGGAGGTCGTTGACATCCTCGCCAACACAACTCGTCACGTCTTCATCGCATTTGATGTTGCTGGTCCACACCAGAAGGAACACGAATATGAGAAGGATGTTCTTCATCATGATCATCATTTGATTGAGTTTTCTTTTGCTTCAGAAGAGAAGATTTGGTTGATTCGCCAGGCGATTCGTTGTTGGAACTGATTGAATTTTGATTCGAAAAGAGCCACATCGACAGTGCCACGTGGCAAGGTCAAACTGTAAACAACAAAACGGGCGGGGCATGTCACGTGGAAATTAATAAAAACGTGAAAGCTTTTGAGGAAGAAAGGGGGGGGGGGCGTCAGATTGATTTTCTTCTCTGCAATAGAAAAAGTTATGGAAAGTTAATAGGAAAGGCAAAAATATTTATTTGGGATTAGAATTTGGAAATTGTCAGTCAAAAACCTTAGAAGTGTATTTTATCTGTAGAAAAATGACTCCGTTTGCAGTATTTTTTGATGAGTAAAAAGTTGGTGTTCAGAGTTTTCAGGCAAAAAATAAACAAACCAAAAAGCCAAAAAAAAACAAAAACTTTGCCCCGAGCGGGATTCGAACCCGCGACTGGTTTCCCAATGAGACCGACAAACGTCCCACGCCTTAACCACTCGGCCATCGGGGCGGCGAGTCTGAATAATGTGCGTCTCTGAGAAAACGTTGCGGAAATGGGAAAGGACCTCCTTAGCAGGCAAACAGCGACCACATAACCTTTTCCCAGAGACACAATTTTTTCAGACTGGTCGTCCCGATGGCCGAGCGGTATAAGACGTGAGGCTCTAGTTCTCTTGGGTCAAGACATTAGAAAAAACTTTTATTTGAAATTCCGCGCAAAGAAGTAAACTGGATATCAGAATACGCCCTCCTAAATTTTCATTTGCTTCATCATATATATACAGTACCGTGCAATAATATACGAACATCCCCTGTTTTCAGTTGATTTTAGCTGACTTTGAGCAGGCGTCACACGGTCAAAAATTTTTCTACGGTTCTAAAATTTTTTGGACGTATCAAACATAGCTCGAACTTCATTTTTGTAGTTGACAACTTTTATGTACCACCACTTCCCCGGCAGATACAGCTCGTCCAATGAAGATCTCCGAAAATCTTCAAATTTTCTACAGAAAATGGGCTATTTCTGAGGTAGTAGACTTGGACGAGCTCTAACTCTCGAGAGAGTGGTCGCACACAAAAGTTGTCAACTACAAATATAAAGTTCAAGCTACGCTAGATACGCCCAAAAATTTTTAGAGCCGTAGAAACATTTTTGACTGTGTGGCGCATGCTCGAAGTCAGCCTAAATCGGCCAAAATCAACTGAAAAACAGAAGTGTTCGTATACTTTTGCACGGTACTGTATGTTCTTTTCAGCTTTTCATATAACTTCAGGATTTTCAGACATTAATGCTTCAAAAGGTTCGAAACACCTATAAATTCAACGAATGGACTTTGTGCTTCCGGAAAATGAACCTAATTATAACCATTCTTCAAAAATCATTATCAATGTTATATACTAAACCCAAAAAATAACCTTTTCGTAGTCTGTGCTTCCCTGATCTCAATGATCACAGTATACTTTGTACCCTAAATGCACAATTCTAAACAATCTTCGAAGGTCATTATCAGTTATCTTTTCTTCTTCCCCATTCTATTTGTTTTCTTGTTCTCTTCAATGTCTCTGATCCCTTGTTTTCAAAGGGGTCAGCTGTCGAATAGCCACAAACATTTATTGAACACATGATGATAACCTTTCTATTGATTTTTTTATATCAAATAAACCGACGAAATTGACTCTAAATACTTCTTTTTTTTTGTTAACACTGATTTTTTTGTTAACAGCTGAGACGGAGAATAAAAAAAAACGAAAAGTTCCAACATGGTCGCCTCCAGCACACCTACGCATGTCATTCCCATCCAATTTTCCGTACGGTCGATCATAAAACTTCGTTTTCCTTGCGTAAGCTCCGCCCCCACCCTGATATAAATAGAGGCGACCTCTCCTAAGACTCCAAGACATTCGTCTCAATGTGGATCTATTCCCTTCTCATTGCTCTCTGCCTTCTGGGAGCAACTGCTGCCCAACCTTTCTACTTCGATGGAAACCATCATCATCCTCTGGACGATTCTGAAGCCGTTGTGAAGACCTTCCTGGAGATTTCTGGCACGATGGGATGTGTCCACTTTCCGGCAAGATGGGATGTCAGTGGACACATCCCATCATGCCAGAAATCTCACATTCAATGTTTTTGAACCGAAGATCAGTAAGTTAAATATTTGTACTGGAATTTAAAAGTTGAGTTTTCCGTTTTCATTAATCTTCATCATCATTTCACTTATCACCTCCATACGTCAGTATCACGTGAACTTATCGGAATTCCATTGGGAATACATTCCAGACTGTTGCACATTGTGCACATGTGCTTCTCTCTTATTCTTATCAGTGACCTCTGAATGCCACGTTGTTCTGTAATCAGTTGGACCGCAGAGGAGGGGCGTTGGAAGAGCTGATGGCCTGGAGAAACATTTCGTTCTCGTTGACACTTGACATTAGATAGTGAGAAGGGAGAATTTGGTGTTTGAGGTTGGCTTCTTGAACTTTCCTGCTTCCAGATTTTTCTGGAGTTTGGTTTAGGAATGGTTGAAATTCTGCGAAAAAAAACTAGATCTTCTAAATGATTTTGCTTCAAATTCTAGGAAATGAGGCCATTTTTGTCTTAAAAATTTGAGGAATTTCAAAGATTGTCTTCTGTTTTTTTCCTCACATTTTTCCTTGTATCATTTCGAAATTTATTTTTCTCTAAATGAATAGGTCTGTTTCATCAGGTTTTACACTAAATACACTCCCATCACTTGCTCATCCCATCATTTTTCAGTATCAATCAAAAAAACGTTTATTTTCAAAACCTAATAATAAGTTAAAAACAGGAACAAACAAGCTTTTGAGTCATCTCCTTCCTGCCATTCAAACTTTTTCCTATTATTCCTATTTCTTCACTTCCCTATCATTTTCAGTCTAATTGTCCTTTCTATTTCATTCTTCTCCTGCTCCCTACGAATTTCCAATTTCTTTTCAGAACTATGGGTAAACTTACCTCACTTCTCCTATTTGCTTTAATATCCTCCACCCAAGCGGCTCCTCGAATTGACTGTCTCCCAGAACCGAATGGAAATCAGGGAGCATGTGAGGCGAGAGGATGTATTTGGAAGGAAGATGATTCGGGGGTAAGAACTTCTTCGTGACAGTATAATCTGGAAAGAATCGCTCTTGAAGATTTGATAGGAGTTGAATTCTTTCTTAGAGAGTGTGCCCTTGTCCCTGTTAAGATTCTGAGTTCCAGATCGGTGCTCCATGGTGCTATTTCAAAGATGGAGTTGGATACAAACTGGATTCCCAACAAGGAAGCACCTACAATTTGAGAAAGAACAGTGGACCATCGAATCCATGGGGAGCTGATTCAACAGAGATCAAATTGACAACAAAGAAAATTGGAAGTGTACTGAATGTTCATATTGGAATTGATGGAAGGTTTGTTGAATCATATTAAATTTTGAGAGCAGAGGGACATGTGAAAAGCTCCTGGACATTTTTAGATTTGAAACTTGAAAACCGAAAAGTTGGAGAGCGTTTGGGCTTTGGGGTGGGCTTCTCTGCATAAACATTCTCTTCACTTCACCTTCTCTGTACCCCATCCCATCCTATTCCTTTTAGATATGAACCTCCAGTCGACTTCCCAAGAGAAACTCAACCATCCGATGAATCTCTGGTCCTCTCCACTGACAGCTCCAGTGACGTCTTCTCATTCTCCGTTGTCCGTCAAAGTTCGAACAGAAAACTCTTTGACACTTCTCTTGGAGGCCTCATTTTCTCTGATCAATTCATCCAGATTGCTACCTATCTTCCCAGTGAAAACATGTATGGATGGGGAGAAAATACTCATCAGACTTTGAGAGTGAGCTATTCTATTTCGAAACTGATCTCATCGAATTTTTAATTTTCAGCACGACTTTACAAAATACTTAACCTGGGCAATGTTTGCTCGTGATCAACCTCCGAATTCTGGAAATTTGGACACAATGAATCTCTATGGAGTTCATCCATACTACATGATCTTGGAGCCTGATGGCAAAGCTCATGGAGTGCTCATCCTTAATTCAAATGCTCAAGAAGTGATGACTGCACCAGGACCATCATTGATTTATAGAACAATCGGAGGAAACTTGGATATGTACTTCTTCCCGGGACCAACTCCCGAACTGGTCACTCAACAATATTTGAAGTTTATTGGAAAACCATTCCTTCCGGCTTATTGGGCATTGGGATATCAGTTATCTAGATATGGATACAAGGGATTGGATGAGATGAAAACGAGAATTCAGGCTGTGAGGGATGCTGGAATTCCAATTGATATTGGTGAGAGAGATTGTGAAAAGAGGAAAGAGAATAAGAAAGAGTGTTGATTTCAGGAGTTGCTGATATCGACTACATGCAAAGATACAAGGACTTCACAACTGGAGATGTAAGTGATTTTCAGCTTGAGTGGGGAATGTTTCTACAGTAATCCTACAGTAATCCTAACTTTTTTATTCAGTTTTTTATGGGTTCTAGGCACTGTGAGATTAGTCAAGAAAGATTCTTCTTTAAAAGTTTGATTTTCTGAGCTTGAACCTATCTGATCTTTTGAAAAGTGCTCTGGAATGTACTGTTTTACAGGAACTTTTTTTGACTTGAATCTACAATAATCAAAAGTAATCCAGAAAAAAAAAGCTACAGTAATCTAGAATGAAAGTTACAGCAATCCAGAATTTAGTTTTAAAAATAATTGAACCCAAGTTCTGAAAAATCTGAAAAAACCCAAATGTATAGCAGACAGTTTCATAGAAATCAATACTACATAATTAACACTAATCACTTTTGTTTTCCAGGACTGGTCTGGCTTTGGAGACTACGTGAAAACCATGCATTCGTGGGGAATGAAACTCATCCTTATCTTCGATCCTGCCATTGAAGCCACCTATGATTCATTCAAACGAGGAATGGCTGCAAATGCGAAATTCGTTGAATGGGAAACTCAAGCTCAAGTTCAAACTGGGATCCAAAACCTGTATCCAATGGCTAAAAACACTAAGATCATGTTGGGAGTCGTTTGGCCAGATAACCACGTGGCATTCCCTGATTTCTTGGATTCAACGAATAACACTCAGAATTGGTGGATCAGTGAATTCGTCAACTATCAATCCCAAGTGGCATTTGATGGAATTTGGATTGATATGAATGAACCATCGAATTTCGGAACAAATCAGAATCATCCATGGTATTTTGATAGTGATGATCATCCAGACGATGCTCCACTATTCTGTCCAACTGATGGATCCAATCTATGGGAGATGCCACCGTACAAGACACGGGCGGTTTGGAGATGGGGAGATGCTGGAAACGGAGCATTCTTGTCAACCAACACTTTGTGCCTCTTGGCTCTTCAAGACGGAGGAAAGCAAAGATTCTATAATGTGAAAAACTTGTATGGATTGACTGAGGCTATTCATACTCAGAAGGCGTTGTTCAAGGCAACTGGAAAGAGAGGAGCAGTGGTTTCAAGATCAACATATCCATCTGCTGGAAGATATG